TTCTCAATCAAAAGTTATAGACTAGAAAAAAATTCAAAGGGCTGTAACTTTTGAACTAGTAGCCCAATCTTGATTGTCTTGCGTAAAATGTGGTGGGGGTACTAAATATAGAAACTAAATAAACTAGAAATGAATGGCATGATTACAAGAAAACAATTAGAAAAATAAACTATAGAAAGAGGAAAACCAAAAATTGATTTAAATCCTGATGAGTAATTACCCTAGGTCAAGGTTAGCCCTCTTGGTAATTGCAGATTCTGACATGATAAACTAAACGGCGTTGACAATAGGAAAAAAATGCAACTCATTCAAGCAACGGTCACTATCTTCGCCACGATCGTAGCCGCAATGGGAATTCCCGGTGCAAAACCCACGTCAACTTTTTTTTATTGTATCGTTGTTATGGAAATCACATAATTTTTTCCGTCGGAACTCGGTTCAGGTCATTTTAAATACGAAATAGTTCCGAAATATTTAGCATATACCGCGTCTTCATCTTTGCGCGTCTCTATTTATATTAATGCAAAAACGGAACCAACGAAATTTCTGCGACCAGCGTCCCCTTAAACCAACAGTAGACCAGCATCTTTTATTTACATTGCACTAGAAAAAAAGTAGAATTTGAATCCATATCTCGTCACATGAGGTGGTTCAGACAGCGTACTTAATACGTAGATTGAAGAGATTTCCTTACGGGATCCATACAGCTTCAGCCTTCTTTATGTCAAGGTGCGTCTTTGTTGATTAATTACTTCCAAGTTAACATTTCATCAGCTTGAATCACGCAACGCACGCGTAGAATACTTTATTGCGCGCAAATATAACGTCCATTATCAGTTTGCACGATTGTAAAAAAAATTAATTCGCCGCATTTTAAACAACCACGAATTCCTAATCGGTTGCCCACCAGAAAAACCTATACGGAACCAACGCAATTCACGCGATTGCCTTTAACATTTCTACCTTCCTCCGATCCTGATATGACAATTGCAATTAGGAGGGCATGACATGGTGCGTGATGAATTATTCCCTATTTTCTATTCTTTTTTTTTAGTTTTGCTGCGATCCTAATACATCAGTTTTTGAAAGAGAAAGGGACTCATGTAGAGCACAACACGAGATCACACCTTCTTCCATTCTTGAGATCCTAATATGATCTAAACAGGAAACTTGCTATCAGGAGCGCATGATGATAGCGTTTGTATTTTCGGAACAATCGTCGTTTAGGGTCCAGGAAGGAGTTACTATTTTTCGTAAGTTGTAACTTTTATTTCTGGCCAAGTTTTTTGGAACTATTAAGAATAAGGAACCGGAGCGCGACTATAGATATTTATATAAATTATAATGTGACAGGAGCGATTAAGAATTCTCACATTTTGAGAAAAAAATTGATCCCAAAATTAGATCTAAGGGTTTATATTTAGAAGCTCCGGTTCGTCCAAAAACAAATGGCGAACGTATGCCAACCGGCCTTGCACTTAAAAGGTAAAGGACACATCGGAACCGACGACGTTGCACCGACTCCGGTGGCGCCTCCTTCCCAATGCAAAGCGAACGTCATTTAATTCTTCGAACAACAATTCGCGGTTAGTAGTCACCAAGGCATTTAAATAAAAAAAAACACGACTCTGGTCGCGTGCCAACTTTCGCAAGTAATAACCGCGTACACAATGCGACAAAATGATGCCATAAATTACATTATTAATAGGTAGATACGTAGGAACGTTCTCGGAGCCAAAACGCGCTCGAGTGCCCACTTTACGATGAGGTTTTTGGGCAAAGGACGATCCTAATCTCCGTTGAAAATAGCGAAACCTTCGCAAGAGATCTAGTTTTGCAGATTTCATCACGAATTTCATGACCTCCTAATACTTCACATCAGTTTTGACCCTTCAGCCGACCGTTGAACTGACTGATTGTCAAGAAACTTCCACCAATTAAACTGCAGGTCAATGGCATTCAGGTGATATTAAAGAAAAACTGCCCATTTTTTAAATTCTGTGATTCTGATACAGCCATTTTGAATGTACGAATTGTATTATGAGAACAACACGAGAGGAGGTGCTTGCCAATAATAATAAACATAAATAAATTTTGTTACTAATTTACAACTTTTGGGTTTCTGCGCTCCTGCTTAGCAACTTATCAAAGATTCGTAACAGGAGATCATGACACATGAGAAGGTGTACGCGAAGGAAACTGCAACGCAATGCGTTGTCTAGATTTCTATTTCACTGTTTCTAAAGTCGTGGTGTAACAGGAGAATATAATGTTCACCTCTCCTGTTTCTGTGATACTGCTACAACAATTTTTAATAAACAAATTAGTATTTTGAAAAAAATGATCCCTCTAATTATAATAATAAATATAAATATAATTTGTTACTCATTTACAACTTTTGGGTTTCTGCGCTCCTGCTTAGCGACTTATCAAAGATTCGTAACAGGAGATCATGACACATGAGAAGGTGTACGCGAAGGAAACTGCAACGCAATGCGTTGTCTAGATTTCTATTTCACTGTTTCTAAGTCGTGGTGTAACAGGAGAATATAATGTTCAAATCTCCTGTTTCTCTGATACTGATACAATTTTTAATAAACAAATTAGTATTTTGAAAAAAATGATCCCTCTAATTATACTATTTTGTTTTCCTAGTACAAGAACGGGGGTATGTAAAGAAATGTTGGCCTATTTATTCTTTCTGTGATCCTAGTACAATTTATAAAGAAGAATTCATGTAAGGAACAGACAACACACCAAACTGTAGTTGCCAATAAATTGTTTTGCATGTTCATCGCCTATTTGTTTCTGTCACCCTGACACAAACATCTTTAGCAGAGAAATTCGTATGTTTGCCAGTGATTTATTTGGTTTTTTTTTAACATTGATACAGCCATTTCTCAAAGAAACGTCTGTCGGAGGACTACCCTACAACTACCCATTTATAAAAGGAGAGCATAATATGTGAAAAGGTGCTAATGAAGTACTACGTATTTTACACCTCTTCCGTATTTCTGTGCTCCTGATGAATTAATTTTTAAAGTAGAAACTTGAATTAGGAGAACATCATACGTAGAACCGCGTTTCCTAATGTGCTACAGCACTTTTATACTTCCATGTTCCGGGCAAGTCAATTTCAGGAAAAGAAATTGGTATTAGGAGAACATAATCCCGTTTTCTAATAAATTATTTCGTATTTTACACCTCTTCTGCACCCCGAAGATCTCATGGTATGTGGAAGGAAATGATTATTGAGTCCTTCGTTTCCCTAGGAAGTATTCCATACCCCCCAAACCCCCCGGTTGGACATTCTTCCCCAAAATGTTTAGTGATTTTGGCACTTGTATCACAATTTTTAGAAAATGGCTTTCTAACGTAACACCAGAAGCCTGTGTGGGATAGAGGTACTCATTAGGGAACGAAGACTCGGTATTCTTTATGAGAAACTATAACAGAGTCCTTTAGGGCTGAACGTTTTGGGGGGGCATGCAAAACCGTGGGGTCTGGGGGGTATGGAATACCCCCCCAGCTCCCACAAGAACTAATATGTGTAAAGAAATGAACATTAAATCTTTCTTTTTTCTGGGGGGTATTCCATAGCCCCGAGACCCCCCGGTTGTACAGGGTGGCCAAATAAGAATGCGAGGTACTGTATCTGGGAACCTGTCCATTGTAGAGGCTTGCGGTAAAAAAATTTGTTACTAAAACGGCCACGAGAAAAACCTGGAAAATATTTTTAAGTTTCAGCAATGACTGCTAGGGGGCGTAACTGCAATCTGGAATCTAAAAAAGTGATTTTTCTGTGAATTCTGCTATATTAACCTAACAAAAAAATGTCCGGTCTTTGAAGTTGACCTGAACCTTTTTTGTTTGACGATTTTTCCTGTATCTCTAAAAATGAAGTGGTGGGGGGTATTCAAAGGTTTCCGTAAAGAACACCCTGTATCTTCGAAACGGCTGAGCCGATTTAAACAAACTCGGGTTAATTGAAAACAACCAATTGGTCTCAGATTTTGCATACGCATGCCTTTAGTGGTGCCAAGTGAAACTTTAGAAAATGGGGGGGGGGGGGGGGTAAACACATGTTCTACCCTTCATGGTATTCAAATGAAAGGTCTCATCGAAATAAATTGGTTCGTAACAAACTATAACTTTCCCGTGCGACTCTTCTTCGAAATCAGTGAGCGAAGGGGCCTGGGGGGGTTAAAAAGTAATTTTATCTCTCATTGTATTCTAATTAAAGGTCTTAACGAAAGGAACCGTTTTCTACCAACTACTGCCCTTCTATCTGTCCTCTTATCAAAGTACGGTGTGGTGGGCAAGGGGGGGGGGGGGGGGAACTAGTTTTATCCTTCATGGTACTCTAATGAAAGGTCTTAACGAAAGGAATTAATTTCTACCAACCATAGCCCTCCTCCTCGACCTCTTATCGTGATCGGGTATATGTCCCTATGCCTCAAGAACGGATTGTCGGAAGAGGGTACTCACAAAGGGCGACTGCAAGAAATATATCCATTGGTGATGTCAAAACAAAAGCTATTTCGGGTAAAAAAAAATGCACAAGAGTTGTACTGTTTCCTTTCTCTCCACAGTCTCTAGTTCCCATGGCCCAGAGTTAGTTATAACAGTGTGCAAAAAGCTTGAAGAACTCCTCGACCTATTTTTTTTTGTTTTCAGCCAAAATGAGCGAAGCGGACACCTACGTGTTCCGAGATCAATCGAGATTTTGGATTCAGAGAGTGGTGGTGCCAATTTTGGTCTGCATCGGCGCCGCTGGAAACATTCTTTCGATAATCGTCCTGACGAGGTCAGTAAGTCCAAACAAAACGGGCAGTAAATCGGTTTTACTGCACCGAATAAAATTGAATAAACAAAATTAACGCTGTGTTTATTTACAGACGTCGGATGAGAAGTTCGACGAATGCGTATCTGACAGCTTTGGCCGTCGCCGATTTAATTTATCTGCTCTTCGTGCTTCTCCTGTCCTTCACGCACTACCCCAACATTCACGATCACAAATTCGAGCTCTACTGGAGGTTCTACGGGATCAGCCATTGGCTTTGCGATGCGGCAAGTGAGTATTTTCGCCCCATGTCAAGTGTCAATTTTATTTTCGCGATTGACTTTGGCCGACCGCCAAGGTGACGATTTCCAAAACAATTCCGTAAGATTTTGGACATGCTGGGGATGATCAATGCCATGTACGAAACGAAATGCGAAGTATGCGACGACACCGTCCCCAGAATTAGCTCAAATTCCCTCTTCTACCAAAGAGGCAATAAAATTGGATACATACCTAAGTTCAATTTCGATTGTGCTGCCAAAAATTGTTTACGGTCGTAAATTAATCGTTCCACGTTTTGAGCGGTTTTGGATCGGAGCCATTCGAATTACTGAGAATGTTTGCATAAGGTTCATTTCTCTTTTCAGACGTTACTTCAGCTTTCTCTAACTACATTTGTCAAAAAATGAACCTTTCTTTTTTTCATATCCCCGGGCGTTTTACATTCATCCCCGAAGTATTTGCTTTTGACACCTATATGTAACACCAGAAGTCTGTGTGGGGTAGGAAGTGGTCCTTAGGACAGAAGTTTTTGGAGAAGAATGTAGTACCGTCCAGAAGATGATATATGTGTAAGGAAAGGAACATTTGAAATTTTCTAGTTCCTGGGAGGTGTTCCTTCGATACCCCCTCCCCCCATTTTCCATTCTTCTTGAAACTATTTCGTGCTTTTAGCATTTGAATCATAATTTCTAGAAATGGGCCATCGAACATGGTACCAGAAGGCTACGTGGGATAGGGATGTTCACTAGAAAACGAACATTCCGTGTTCTTTATGAAAAAATATAACGTAGTCCTTAGGACTGAACTTTTTGGGGAAGAATGCAGTACCGGGGGGTATGGGGGGTATGGAATACCCCCCAGCAACACCCCAGCAGCCTAAAGTACAAGTGCGCCATCTCCTTCGTAGTCGATACACTAACTTGCACCTTATAGTATTATAAGTTTAGTTGAGATGTCGCCACTTACGTAACTTTTTTCGAAATAACTTTTGAAATTTAGCCACGATCGACATACAGATTCAAAAGGGGACGGGACGACACCTTTGCGGATCTCGGGTATACAGACACTCCAGGACATGCAGTATTTGAGTGTAAGAGGTGAGAAAGGCGTACATGGACGCTGAGAATGGATTTGGTGGCGTAGAATCCAAAACAATTCGTACTTTTTCGATTAGACTTCTCAATCAAAAGTTATAGACTACAAACTAATTTCGAAGAAAAATTCAAAGGGCTGTAACTTTTGAACTAGTAGCCCAATCTTGGAACTGTTTGAAATTATGGATTCTACAGGCACCATTCTATAAGAAAATTTTTTTCCCGGATCGATCTGAGACAATTTTTTTCTTGGGCCAAAAAAAAAGGCAGTGTATAACCTTCCTTTTTTACCAAAAATCGACTGCACCAAAATTTCTCGGGAAAACACTTTTTCTTATTAATTTTGGTGCGTAGAATCCAAAACAATTCGTACTTTTTCGATCAGACTTCTCAATCAAAAGTTATAGACTAGAAACCAATTTCGAAAGAAATTTCAAAAGGCTGTAACTTTTGAACTGTAGCCCAATCTCCGAACTGTTTGAAATTATGGATTCTACAGGGCACATTCTATAAGAAAACTTTTTTTCCCGGTCGATCTGAGACAATTTTTTTTTCTGGGCTCAAAAAAGGCAGTGTATAACCTTCCTTTTTCACCAAAAATCGACTACACCAAAATTTCTCGGGAAAACACTTTTTCTTATTAATTTTGGGGAGTGGAATCCAAAACAATTCGTACTTTTTCGATTAGACTTCTCAATCAAAAGTTATAGACTAGAAACAAATTTCGAAAGAAAATTCAAAGGGCTGTAACTTTTGAACTAGTAACCCAATCTTCGAACTGTTTGAAATTATGGATTCTACAGGGGTACATTCTATTAGAAAAATTTTTTTCCCGGTCGATCTGAGACAATTTTTTTTTCAGGGCTCAAAAAAAGGCAGTGTATAACCTTCCCTTTTTACCAAAAATCGACTACACCAAAATTTCTCGCGAAAACACTTTTTCTTATTAATTTTGGGGTGTAGAATCGAAAACAATTCGTACTTTTTCGATTTGACTTCTCTATCAAAAGTTTAGACTAGAAACAAATTTCGAAAGAAAATTCCAAGGGCTGTAACTTTTGAACTAGTAGCCCAATCTTCGAACTGTTTGAAATTATGCATTCTACAGGGCACATTCTATAAGAAAATTTTTTTTCCCGGTCGATATGATGCAATTTTTTTTTCGTGGCTCAAAAAAAAGCAGTGTATAACCTTCCTTTTTTTTACCAAAAATCGACTATACCAAAATTTCTCGGGAAAACACTTTTTCTTATTAATTTTGAGGAGTGGAATCCAAAACAATTCGTACTTTTTCGATTAGACTTCTCAATCAAAAGTTATAGACTAGAAACAAATTTCGAAAGAAAATTCAAAGGGCTGTAACTTTTGAACTAGTAACCCAATCTTCGAACTGTTTGAAATTATGGATTCTACAGGGGTACATTCTATTAGAAAAATTTTTTTCCCGGTCGATCTGAGACAATTTTTTTTTCAGGGCTCAAAAAAAGGCAGTGTATAACCTTCCCTTTTTACCAAAAATCGACTACACCAAAATTTCTCGCGAAAACACTTTTTCTTATTAATTTTGGGGTGTAGAATCCAAAACAATTCGTACTTTTTCGATTAAACTTCTCTATCAAAAGTTTAGACTAGAAACAAATTTCGAAAGAAAATTCCAAGGGCTGTAACTTTTGAACTAGTAGCCCAATTTTCGAACTGTTTGAAATTATGCATTCTACAGGGCACATTCTATAAGAAAATTTTTTTTCCCGGTCGATATGATGCAATTTTTTTTTCGGGGCTCAAAAAAAAGCAGTGTATAACCTTCCTTTTTTTTACCAAAAATCGACTATACCAAAATTTCTGGGGAAAACATTTTTTCTTATTAATTTTGGGGAGTGGAATCCAAAACAATTCGTACTTTTTCGATTAGACTTCTCAATCAAAAGTTATAGACTAGAAACAAATTTCGAAAGAAAATTCCAAGGGCTGTAACTTTTGAACTAGTAACCCAATCTTCGAACTGTTTGAAATTATGGATTCTACAGGGGTACATTCTATTAGAAAAATTTTTTTCCCGGTCGATCTGAGACAATTTTTTTTTCAG